CTACAAAATTGTTCCGTAGTAAAAAGTACCTTTTATTACGGGTTTTTACCGTAGCAAAAAATTTCGTAGTAATAAGCAAATTTTCTACTAGTGGTATCTTGGATCACCTGTTTTCCATTATCTTTGGGACGAGTACGACCCTCCTTTTCCTGCCATTCTTGATGAATTGGTTGGCGAAGTAGATTCGACGGCTGGGGAGTTGAGTCGGCAGGTTTGATATGCTGCTGCCCCCGTTGCTTTTTCCTACAGTTATTGCTCAAATGACCCAATAATCCAAAGTGTGAACAAAAAGCGATGTTGCCTTCATACTCAACCTTTTGCCAGAAGCCCTTTTCCTTCGACTCTCTGATCCAAATTTGTTGGAGTAAATATGAAGAAACATCAACTTCTACACATAACCGAGCGTACATCAGTTTTTGGAAATTTAAGCTCGAAGAAAGGTGCCAAGTTGATTTCCAATTCTCTCCAGGTAAGGCAGATTAAAGTATTGCTACCTTTGTACTATCCTTATCGAATTTGAAGTCTTTCATCCATCGAGAAATTCAGAACATAGATGTTCCGATGGAGTTTGAATCCCGTACTAATGCCATAATCATATCGTCAGAATCTGCTGGGATAAGCAAAATATGACGTGGATTAATCAAACTTATCACAGGCTCTTTAGAGAGGTTCCAAAATTGATAAATCTTCGTACGGATATCATCGAAACTTGGACGACCTCTGGAGAATTTCATAATTAACGCGTGCTCAAATTTCTTTGAGGTGAGATCCATCTCTAATGAAGAGAAGAAAACGGCTGGAGCCTCTTCAATAGATGTAAATTGTTGAGGCGGCAACGAAAGGTTGATAGGATTGAACCATGCATGTGGTGGCTTCGGAGCAGCCGGTGTTATAACATGGGCGAAGGTACGAATAGTAGGTTTGATCGGATCCAACGACGTTGACAAGGCTGGTGTAGGAGCAGCGGCGTCGACCACCGCCGGCAATTCAGACTTGGCGAACGAACAAGTTAGGCTAGGGTTATAGGGTTTTCGCAAGGGAAGAGAGAGAAGAGAGCATAGTTGTACTAATACGACTTGGCGAACGAACAAGTTAGGCTAGGGTTAGGGTTTGGAGTATTCTAGACCATATGAGCTACAATGGTTTAAGGTTGATGGAGATTAACTAAAGGTTATAGGCAAGTGCTTGTTTCATTCTCAATTGGGAAATACAAACATGAAGTTTTTTGTTGGGTGGTGTCTATTATTCCTGCTAATCATGTTTTTTTTAGACAAGGATATCTGGTGGAGGTGAAAAGTATATTGAAATGGAAACGAGTGAAGTCTTTGGTAATCTGCGGTAAACTAGAAATAATATAGTTTCATATCTAATCAGTGATATAAATTTAATTATTTCACTTTGTCATCTTCAATACATGTCGGGGAGTGCTAGCACAATAAGTCAAAACAATAATTACAAAAGTTACTCTTTGTTTATAGTGATCAAGATCAATCACTTAAATATTGTGCTACATCTTTTAGCAATGGTTAATTCAATTCCATCTAGATTGTGAACGTTTATCTTCATATTTTAAACGAACTTTCTAAATGATTTTCAGTGCACCGTAGCACACCATGTACATCCATTAAAAAATTTGGCAGAAGATGAGTGTCGGTCTATTATTAGAGCAAAAGCCTTTAGAGAAGATAATAATATTCCGCCAGAATTTGAGACCGTTGGGGTATCTATTGCAAAACGATGTCAAGGTCTGCCGTTGGCGACAAAAGTGGTTGGGGCATTGTTGCGTGATAAGAATATCAACGAGTGGATTTCAATTGAAAAGAATTGGCTCTCAAATTCAGAAAATGAAAATACAGTCTTGAATATATTGAAGTTGAGTTATCATCATTTATCGTCGTCATCACTCAAAAAGTATTTTGCATATTCTTCCATATTCCCTAAAGGATTTGAATTGGAAAAGAAATATTTGGTTGAGCTTTGGATGGCAGAGGGATTTCTTGGCGGAAATGATGATATGGAAAATGTGGGCAACAAATTCTTTAGTCTTCTTCTACAAAACTCATTGTTACAAGTTGTGGGGAGAAATAAGTATTAGAGTATATTAGTATATTAGATATTATAGGATATTAGGATTCTATTAGGATTTAGTTACCTAGATTAGTTAGGATTTAGTTACCTAGTCAAACTCTATTACCTTGCAATATTTCTCTATATATATATTCCATGTAATCAACCCATAACACAATGGGGGTTTCTATCACGTATTATTATTTCTCTCTTTCTCCTATTCTATTCTTCCTTTATGGTATCAGAGCACCAGGTTTAGGTTTTTTAACCTAGCCGCCTTTCTTCTCCATGGCGGTGAAAACCTAGCCGCCTTTCTTCTCCATGGCGGTGACCACCCAATTTTCTCCCTCCCCCGGTGGTGGTATTCCTAATATCTTTCTTTTTCTTTCTATGAACACCACCCGAATTTTCTCTCTCCCCCAGTGGTGCATCTTCTCTATCTCTTTCTTCTTCTTCTTCTTCTTCTTCTTCTTCTTCTTCTTCTTCTTCTTCTTCTTCTTCTTCTTCTTCTTCTTCTTCTTCTTCTTCTTCTTCTTCTTCTTCTTCTTCTTCTTCTTCTTCTTCTTCTTCTTCTTCTTCTTCTTCTTCTTCTTCTTCTTCTTCTTCTTCTTCTTCTTCCTCCTCTTTTCTTCTCCATGGTCTAAAACCTAGCCGCCGCCTCTTCTCTTCTCCATGGCCGGCGAACACCATCTAATCTTCTTCCCCCCTCTCTCTTATCTTCTCTCTATCTCGAAAAAAAAAAAATTTGCTTATTTTTCTCTCACCCGTTATTATTATTATTATTATTTTATCAATTGGGCAGATATTTCCACAGAGGAATTCTCTAGCGTTGTGTTTCGCGGTTTCTGTCAAGTCCTTACGTTTGGAGTTTATTCGTTCCGACCGCGGGAGCGTGCTAGCAAGTGATTGTCCAGTCTTCACGTTCGTCACGTTTCGACTGCGGGGGCGTATTAGAGTATATTAGTATATTAGATATTATAGGATATTAGGATTCTATTATGATTCGGTTACCTAGATTAGTTAGGATTTAGTTACCTAGTCAAACTCTAATATTACCTTTGCAATATTTCTCTATATATATATTCCATGTAATCAACCCATAACACAATGGGGGTTTCTATCACGTATTATTATTTCTCTCTTTCTCCTATTCTATTCTTCATTTAATAAGTATTATAACATGCACGATCTTGTTCACGATCTAGCAACATCTGTTTCAAATCCAAAGACAGAGAATGTTCAGGACAAGGTGTACCAAGTTCGATATGACAATTTGAAATCGAAATATAGTTATTAGAATGCTATGTTCGATATCGCTTGTCTAAAGATGATTGATTTATTTTTGTTGCACGTTGCCCCTTTAAAATGTTATTTTGTTGCACGTTCCCCACCGTAAATTGGGTTTTGGGGCAAAGTGCAAGCAGAACAATATTTTCAAGGGGTATAGTCTCATTTTTTAACTTTTAGGAAAGAAAGTGATTATCCGGAAAATTAGTATGGGCAAAGTGCATTTTGTCCAAAATATATCACAATTAGACTCCTAACACATAAAAACATTTGCAATTACACCCATATAGTTATAAAGTCAAAATTGGATATTTTTTATTAATATTCTTCAAATCCAAATAATAATGTTATAATTAAGGGAAAATTGCATGTTATCCCCTATAAATTTTTAGTTTTCGCTATATACCCACTCAAAATTTTAAAAAGTGAATGTCCACCTTCAAAATGTTATACTTGTTGCACATTGCCTCGATAGCATATTTCCGATGGACTATTAACCGGGGGGGAGTTTTTTTTTTTTTTTTTTTTTTATGCTACCCCTTTAAATGTTATTTTTGTTGCACGTTGCCCCTCAAAATATTATTTCTTTCTGCACATTGTCCCTTTCAAATGTTATTTTTGTTGCCCGATGCCCACCGAAAAGTAGTTTTTGGAGCAAAGCGCAACCAAAATAATATTTCGAGGAGGATTTATCTCTTTTCTGAATTTTTAGGGGGGGAGGGGGGGGGGGGGGGAGTGACAAACTGGGACATTTATAGGGGGTGAAGTGCATTTTGTCCTGTTATTAATGTCGTAAAGAGAAAAAAATATTAGACAAACCATACCTCAACAAGTAAAGGTAATTACGCAAACGAGAAAGGTTTTTTCGTAGTTTAGTTTTAGGTGCAGAGGGTGTTCAACAACTTATTTGTTCAACCGTTGATAAAATTATAATAAAAGAATAATATTATTAATCATCAGTTATCAAACAAAACTCACTTAATGATTCAACATTCAAACACCGCTCGTAGCCATTCTAATATTGATTCAGCATTCCGCGTGTTAAGCTAAGAATCCTATCGAACACGGCGTAAGTCTAATTCAACTTATTATATCTATCATAATAAATTTGAATTTGAAAAAGAACCAATCCACTTTCTCTAGATCCCGTTCAATCAGCAAAAAGCGAGAAACTAACTTGTTATATCCATAATATGGGAAATATTCGACCCCAAAGTGAAAAGGCTTACAAGATAACAAACTGCGAAATACGGAGTTTGTAGAATAATCCATAACAATTAATTATTAACAAACAGCGAAATTTTCTATGAATAGTAAGTCCATCACCTTCACACATATCCAAATCTTCTCCACTCGCGCCACCTGGCAATTCAAATTCGAAATTTAAAATAACATTCGGAAGATCAAACTCCACAATTCCCATGGCAAACGCATCCCCAAGGCACCCCCTTCACCCCCCTCCAAACGGAATCAACTCAAACTGCCGTTTGAACAAATCCACCGAATTACGTAAAAAATCTCTCCGGATTAAATATCTCCGGATTTTCCCACAAAATTGGATCTCTTACAATAGCCCACACGTTTATAACCACTCGTGTGTCTTTCGAAATATCGTAAGTTCATATTTTGACATCTTCGGTTGACTCTCAAGGAACGAGTAGTAGGAGTGGAGGAGGGTGCAGTCTTAGGGTTTCTTTTACTACGGCTTTCAAGTAGTGGCATTTGTGTAAATTGTCTTCGGTTATTGTTGAAGTGGGTCCCGCTATGTTTTTCAGTTCGTGCTTCAGTTTCGACATGATGTTTTTGTGCCTTATGAGCTCGGATAACGTCCACTCTATGAGTGTATATGTTGTGTCGGTTCCAGCAGCAAACATGTCCTGTAATAGATTATTATTAAAATAGTGATCATCTTGATGAAATAGAATACTGCATTTTCGAGTTCAATTTGCAGTCTCTCGCCATACAAAAAACATGACGATTTTAATTGAGTCTATTAATTGAACCTCTTGTTCTAAGTTTCTAACTACAGTTGAACCTCTCTAAATTAACACAGAGTCGAGACTAGCAAAATTCTATTAATTTAGCGAACTCTTAAACTATTGAGTTCATACTTAGTACATTTTTGCCGACTCGGGCCAGATGAAATTATTATTTACGCGAGGTTATTAATTTATCGAGGTTCTTCTGTATATTGCATTTGCTACAAACACAGAAAAGAAAGAAACTAAAAAAAATAATATTAAAGGCAAATTACCGCCACCTCTTTAATTAGGTAAGGTCAACCTACGAAACCATCCCTCCATCTGGTAAATATAGGGGCATTCATTCGGTAAAATTGTACTGAAACTTTGGTACGCCAAAATTTCATATTGTTTAGCGTTCGGTTCGGTAAATAACAGAATTACCAAAAATTTTAAAAATTCGAATTATTTTTTTTAATTAATTTTAGTTTAAATACTAACTACATATATAAATATGGGTAAATAGCATTAAACCGCCTAAACTTTGCCATTTTTTCGGATTACCACCTCAACAGAAAAAAAACTCCGATCCCACCCGAACTCAATAAGTTGTGCCATGCACATTGCCATTTTTCATCCATTTTCAAGCCAAAATGACCGGAATTAAAGGCATGTGCAACTGTGCATTGCACATGCGATTCGGTCGGTTTACCGACCGGATGAACACCCCTAGGTAAATTTGACAACGTACATAGTTGAGAGGGTGGTTCTAATTATGCAAACATGAGAGTTTTTTTCGTAATTCGACCTTACCTTAGGGGTGGCCGCCCCGTAATTTGCCTCAACAATAACTAAGTCCAAGAACACAGACATAACAAACTACAAGGCATACTTTGTTCTACTTGATCAAGAATTAAATTCAAGAACTGTAAAAAGCAATGCAAACATTACCAAGATAAGAGGTTTGATCGAGATTTCATCAAGACCAAATCCACTATCTGCATATCGAGCAAAACATCACAAAATCCTTATCATTTCCGCGAATTCCACCACCGTTAACATGCTCCTTCACCACAGACTCCCAAACTCATCGAGATCTTCCGCGACACTCCGAACTTTACTATTCATCCCATTAACATATTTAACCCAAACAAGCCAAGGAACAAACTCCCCGACATCGAAACCACCCAACAAAACCCCTAACCTCTCCAAAACATCCTTAAATTTCCTCCCACATTCACCATGAATGTACTTTCTCCCCATAGTTGATAAGTGTATATTTTTACACTTTATCGTATCTTTTTATTTGAGCTTTTGGTGTGTTTTAACGATAATTGGTGCTTAAAAAGTTGATTTATTGTATTTTAGGTACAAATTGAAGAATTGGAAAAGTATGGGGTCAAAACTGCAATTTTGGAGAAAATATGGGCCAAAAGTGAGAAAAGCAGAATTCTGGAGAATAGACCGCGCGGCCGTGCGGATTTTAGGCATAAATCTCACACGGCCGTCCGGATGGGCGAGTTGGCGCAGTGTAGGAATCTTAATTGTACAAGGAAACTGCCTTCTTCCCCAAGTTTTTCACCCTATATAAGACCAAGCCAAGCACACAATTAGGAATCCATCTTTTTACGCAATTTCAAGAGCAACAAAGCAATAACGAAGAATTCGAAGACTCCAAGCAAAGATTTATCGTCTATGATTTATTTTATTTGCGTTTTTGATTTAATTATGAGTAGCTAAACTACTTATTTCTAGGATTTTATTTGGAACCCTATGTGGGATTTATGAACCCTTTTCTATGATTTTATGCAAGTTTTAATTCCGGATTATTTCTTCTACTTGTTTTATTAAGTGCATGAATTTGATCACCTTATGTGCTTTTATGTTATTGTTAATCGCATGAATCGGAAGATCGGGTTAATAATTAGAACTGTGGTAGAAGAGCCTTTGTGGTATTAACATAGGAATATAGTTAATCTCTTAGGTAGCTATTATTGAGATTTGTGCTTAATGCTGTGTTCTAGAATTAATTGCATAGGAATATAGTAATTGAATCTAGAGTATTAGAATCGTAATACACGCGGAAGCGGGTTATGATTATTTTAGCATCTCAGGTTAATAATCCGGGTTAATTGCTTGCATAATTGAAGGAATTGGGGGAGTAATAATCACATAGGGGGAAGAATAAAATCCTAGGCTCGTTTACTCTGATAAATCTTCGTGTTTAATTTGCTTTCTTGTTTTTGCTTGTTTTTAATTTAGTTTAATTTAGTTAATCATCTTTCGACTGTGTAGGGTGGGCTTGATAATAATTGGTAGAATTTAGCGTCTAGGATTAGATAATTAAATATTCCCTGTGGGTTCGATATCCGGACTTTTAGTCCACTATATTACTTGTACGATACGTGCACTTGCGTGTAGGTATTCGCCCAACAAGTTTTTGGCGCCGTTGCCGGGGAATATTTTAATTATTTATTTTATTCTAGCTCTAGATTTGAACAATTTTCACGATTCACCCATTTAATTTTTATTTTATTTTATTTTTGTTTTAGGTACGGTGTATGCCTAGGAGACTCGATCTTGCTAGAGAACCGTTTGATCCCGAAATCGAACGCACTTTTCGAGCCGCTAGGAGACTTCAACGCGAAAATAATAGAATGGAGGACGAAGAACGCAGACGCGCAGAGGGTAATTTACTCAATGCCAACGGAAACCAAGTCCAAGACCCACCCCTTCAACTTCCATTACAGCCAGCAGATAGGCCACGGGCACTTCAAGACTACATAATCCCGACTCATGACGGATTCCGCCCGAGCATCCAATATCCACCCATTGAGGCGCACAATTTTGAGATCAAGCAAGGCCTCTTGACGATGCTCCAAAATAACGGGTTATTTAGTGGATTGGCAGGTGAAGATCCCCATCTTCACATTGTCAATTTTCTAGATACCTGTAACTCTCACCGTCAAAACGGCGTTTCCCAAGAGGCGCTTCAATTAATTCTCTTCAAGCACTCGTTACAAGGAAGAGCTCGCCAGTGGTTGATGTCCCAAGCACCCCACTCTATCTCGTCGTGGCCTCAACTCCTCAACCTTTTCATGAAAGTCTATAGCTCACCCGAGAAGGACGAGAGAATCCGGCGAGAAATTCACAATTTTGTCCAAGAGCAAGGCGAGCAATTATACGAGGCATGGGAGAGATTTAAAACTCTTTTGCGGCAGTGTCCAACACATGGAGTCGAACAATGGCGGCAAATCCACATCTTCTACCAAGGGATTAACGAGAATGCACGAACGGTCTTAGATGCATCAACCGGGGGAAATTTTATGAGTCAATCGATACCGGATGCTTTCATCATGTTGGATCAAATAGCTCAAAATCGGTTTGCCAAGTCAAGCGAGAGGACGGTTAGTGGAGCCAAGAAAGTTCCCGGAGTGTTGGAGTTAGATGCAATTACGGCCCTTCAAGCTCAAGTGACCCAAATTGCTCAACAAAATCAACTCCTTCTGCAGCACATCAAAGCAAGTCCACCACAACAAGTCAAAGCAATTGAATCTCCATGTTGTGAAATTTGCGGTGGAAATCACTACACGCTCCAATGCCAACAAGATGTGGAGTCGCTCAACTACGTCAATAACGCGCCTCGCCAATTCCAAAATCAAGGGTGGAGATCACAAGGGCAATATGGAGGAAATCAACAAGGCCAAGGATATCAAAGACCTCAAGGTCAATTCCAAAATCAAGCCCCTCCTCAACAAAGCTATCAAGGCAACAATCCACCGGCCCAAAAATCAAACACGGATGAGATATTGGCCCAATTCATGACCGCTACCCAAGCCTCGTTGCGAAATTTGGAGAATCAACTCGCTCAATTAGCTTTGAAGCAAGAGAACCGCCCGCCGGGAGCATTGCCATCGAATACGGAAGATCCTCGAAATCAAAAGTTCGAGACGTGCCAAGCTATCGATGTCAAGAGCGAAAAAAGGGAAGAAATTCAAATCAAGCCGCAAGTTACTGTAGCCGAATGGGTCGAGCCAATCCCATATCCACAAAGATTGCTAACGAAAAAGATCGAGGTCGAGACATGCCAAGCAATCACCTTGAAGAACGGTAAGCAATTGGAGGAGGCCCCACGAAAAGAGAAGAGAAGCACGGTAATCGAGAAGCCGAAAAAGAATGAGGAAAAAGAATCATCTCATGACGAGCCACCAACGACGGTGCCTTCACAAGTCCCTCCAATTCCTTATCCTCAAAAGTTTATAAAGAAGAAGCTCGATGCCGAATATCAAAAATTTTTGGACAAGTTGAAGGAAATTCGCATAAATATTCCTTTCATTGAAGCACTTCAAAAGATGCCAAAGTGGGTGAAGTTCCTCAAGGACCTCGTGAAGAAAAGTAAGAAATTGCAAGGGAACGAGATGATCCAACTCACGGAGCAAATTAGTGCAATTCTTACTCGGCCTCTTCCACAAAAACTCGGCGATCCAGGTAAGTTTACTATACCTTGTACTATAGGAGGTAAAAATTTTAGATCGCTCATTGATTTAGGTGCTAGCATTAATCTTATGCCGTACTCTACTTTTAAAAATCTTGGGTTAGGAGAAATTGAACCGACGGCTATAACTCTTCAATTAGCCGATAGATCTTTAGTTTACCCAAAAGGTATTTTAGAGAATGTGCTAGTGAAAGTCAATAAATTTATCTTCCCTGTTGATTTCGTTATACTTGATATAGATGAGGATAGGGAGATACCTCTTATCGTAGGGAGACCGTTTTTAGCCACGTCGAAAACTCTCATTGATTGTGCTAGTGGTGATCTTACAATGACTGTGCATGATCAAACAATCAAATTCAATGTTTTTAGTGCTAATAAAAATCCATGTGATAATAATGATTGTTTTGCTATTGAGCTTATGGATTTTACAAATAATGAAAAATTTGATGTTTTGCACTTGGACAATGGGAAAACATCTTTGAGTGCAGGAGATGATGGCGGAAACGGGAATCGGAAGGAGCAAGTTTACTTTATGGACTCAATTTTAAATCCTCCGAGAGAAAATCATACGAGTCGAGGTCTTAACGACGAGGAGAATGCAAGGAAGATGTTGCCACCCAAAAACTCAAGCAAGTCACGAGAAAAGGATGAGTCAAGCTACTGTGGTCGTAAGGAGAAAATCAAAAAGGAATTGCACAAAGGACAATTGGTGTTATTGTGCAAATCCCGTCTTTGGTTATTTCCAAGGAAGCGCAAATCAAAGTGGTCGCGGCCGTGTATTATCCAAGAAATTCTTCCTCACGAGGTGGTTAAAATAAAGGAGCGCGATTCAAATCGTACGTTCAACGTGAAGCGGAGCCGGCTCAAACCGTATTGGGAAGCGAGTGAAGAATGCCAAGTGACCTCGGTCACTTTTGCTTAAAAAAAAAAAATAAAGAGACAAAGTCCGGCTGAAGACTTTAAACTTAGCGCTTCTCGGGAGGCAACCCGAGCTTTATTGTTTTTCGTATTTTTTTTTTTTCTTTTCGTTTCGTTTTTAGTATCATAAGCATGCATTCTAATTTATTATTTGAATTTTATTTTTCAGGGCCGAAAACGTGAGTCGAGAGTCGAGTCGAGCGGCCACGAAAAAAAAAAAAAAAAAAAAAAAAAAAAATTATTTAAAAAGTTTCAGGGTCACTAATAACAAGTTTTTATTTTTCAGGGCCTTAAAATGCAATTATTGAAACTTTTCACACGGCCGTGCGGAAAAAGACTTGGAATCTCGCACGGCCGTCTGAGAAGCGGACGATGCTACTGCCCAAATTGGCCAATTGATGCGGCCGTGCGGATTTCTTCACAAAATCCCGAACGGCCGTCCGAAGGGAAAACCGGCTTCTGCCCAATTTCGAGAAACGGTGCGGCCGTCCCAGAACTAAGCCAAAAAACGGGACGGCCGTCCCATGAGCAGCAGTGAAGCAGAACGCTCGGACGGCCGTCCGAGAAATAGGGCACAACGCGGGACGGCCGTCCGAGGCTATTACTGGGCATTTTAAAATTTTAAAAATTAGATATTGCCCCCATTTCTTCCTAAACCCTTCTCTTTCATCCTCTCAACCTCCCACACACTATTTTCGAATTTTTTAACTTCTCTTCAAAAAATTCTTCAATTTCACACATATAATTCACTCACGCATTCTCAATTTATTATTTTGTGTTGGTATTGACAGGGAGGCTAGAGCATCGAACCAACTTCTTCAAAATCTTATCTTTCAAGGCATGCCCGAGT